GAATCATCGGTAGTTCGAGGTGCAGAAAATACAAAGGACCCATGATGACAGAAATAAGATAGAAGAGGTGGGAGCGATATTATGGAGCCGATCCTCGCGGAGACGGTTCTCCCGAAAAGCGTCATTTTAAAAGGTCAGCGGTGCGGTTTGACTCAGATTGCTATGGGAATAGTGTTGTGCGGTCTCTCCAAATCAGCCTTACTTGTCCTGACAACTGCTCAACCGAACTATACCTTTGTGTGCGTGCCTCATGTGACTATTTACAGAGTTGCAAACGCTTAAGAAAATAGTAGCATAAGCACAACTGGTCTTTTAAATCTGGAGTAGGTGGAGCTCGTGTATCAGAAAAAGAAACTTCCTTAGTAACTATACGGATGAAGCAAATCGTCATAGTTGAGCGAAAGTCGTTTAAAATCACCCCTTAGAATGTCTCCGTCACACAGAAGTCTAACAGAGGTTTGCAACCTTTCTCAGATTCCATAGAATTACTTAATCACATTTGAGTCAAGGTATCCGTACCGGATTTTTGTTTGTTGGACATTTGAAGCATGCTGTTGCGACAAGTGGAGACCGCCTCATGTCCAACGAAGACGATATACCCCGTTCAAAAGATTGGTTTAAAACCTTCCGCTCACAATGTTCGTCTACATGTGTAGTGACTCCACCTTAGGCGACACGCCAGGCAAGAGTTCACGTGATCGCAAGTCTCGATTGCGTCAACGCTCGATCCCTCGCAGTGGCTAACGTGCGCACGGGTCAACGCTCAACCTTTGGCCCCTTGTGACTAAGCGCAGATGCACACATACCAAAGCTTGTCTCACCAGGTCTGGCCAATCATCTCACCAAGTCTGAGTCAGATACAGCTCTCTGCGGCGGCTGGGATGAATGTCGCCAGGCCCGCACTTCGGACGCGGTCCTGCTCGCGGCCAGACCTATGCTCGTCCGATAATCCACTTCGTCCAAACTATTTTCCACTTTCTTCTGCACAGAATAAATTATTCCTTTCACCTGGCGTCCCACGTTTTCTCTTCTACTAAGGAACCGGACCTGAAGGTCGCACTGGCTAGGGTTTAACCTATTAACTTAACCCCCGCGATAAATGTATAGTTCAGCATCCACAGCCGTAGAGCGACAACCGATAAATAACTATCTACAAATAGGTTTAAAGGTTATAAAAGGCCCTGTTAGCATAATTAATTCAGCGGCTGCTTCGCCCGTGGAGTACCAACTTGCCCCGAGGCGTTGGGAGAGCACCCAGTGCTTAAAAATCACAGCCCTTAATGGCTGCAATATCTTCGACGGGTTTTCAGCGAAAATGGTTACCTGTCCAACCTCTTGGACCGGTGCATACGCAAACGAGACGAACGACAAAATCACACCGAACCCTACATCTTGGCTAGCGACTCCGTACCTCAAAAACGCCTAGGAGGCCATCGGCTGCCTTTTCGCACCACTTGGAGTTGGAGTCGAACACAGGCTGGAGGCAACCATAAGGCATTAGATGGTGAAACCAAAACACCCATTGCCACGAAAATAGGATCTGGTGCAGTTACGGAAGAAGAAAC